AATTGAATACAAATATGATAATGATCACGGATATGTGACACACATAAATACGAATATGAAAATGAATTGGGCCAAAAGCCGTTTGATATGAGTGATTGGGCCAAAGGCCGTTTGACATGAATGACTGGGCCAAAGGCCGTTTGACATGAATGATTGGGCCAAATGCCATTTGACATGAATAAATGAGCTAAAGGCCATTTGATACGAACAAATTAGGCCCGAGGCCGTTTGATAAGAACGACTTAGGCCTGTGGCCGTTTGATACGTTTGGGCCTGAGGCCGTTTATGTAGTAGATAGAATCATGAATGGGCCTAAGGCCGTTTGATATGACTGCTACAAATTTCATTCATATACTCCTTTATTTTGATATTATTTACTGGGATATCGCTCACTCTCATTTATGTGTGTGTAGGTGAGCAAAGAGATGTCCAAACCTAGCCCCAGTGAAAGACATGAGAGGAGTCAAGTTTTTATGGAGTCAGCTCGAACGTCTCACACATGAGACATTGTTCTGTTTCTTTTGTTTTTGATTCCCTTTTGTTATCTTGGTGAATATGTTGGATCATCATGTACATAAGCTTTTGTTTAGCTGACTGCATGTTTGAAAATTCCTGGACATATAAGATGTTAATTTTTGACTTCATATGTGAGTTATTATAGGTTGTTTCTAGAATGTTTTGCTTTACCATGTAAGCACAGCTCGTTAGACAAAATTTTTAAGTCTGCTTCCGTTTGGCCCCTAATATATGTCTGATTTTGATTAAGGTCTTAGGTAATCTCATAATTATTGGCCAGTTATGACCTTAATCCATAGGGGCGGATTCGGGTCATGACATACCCCTTCCCCTAGCACTACCATCTACCGTCACTATGTCGCATCTCTTCACTACTGCCTCTGTTGGTCTCCGTTGTATATGACCAAACCATCTCAATCTATTCTCTCTCAACTTATTTTCTATCGGTACTACTCCTACCCATTCGGGAATATACTTACTCCTAACTTTGTCTTTTGTAGTCTTGCCACACATACACCTTAGCATTCTCATCTCAGCAACATTCATCTTATTTACATGTTGTTTCTCAGTTGCCTAACATTCCGTCCCATACAACATTGCTGGTCTAATAGTCGTTCTATAGAACTTCCCTTTTAATCTAATGGGTACTCGTTTATCACACAGTATTTCAGACGCACTTCTTTACTTAAGCCACCTTGCCTTAATTTTGTGGACCACATCCGCTCCAATCTCCCCAATCGTTGTGATAATCGATTCTAAATAACAAAAAATATGCACTCTTAGGTAGTTCTTGGTTATCAATCTTCACTTCTCATCTACTTCTATTGTGATTGTTACTAAAATTATACTATATATACTCTGTCTTAGTTCTGCTTATCATAAATTCTTTAGATTCAAGTGTTTTTCTCCAAATCTCCAACTTAGTGTTAACTCATTTTCTAGTCTTATCTACTAACACGATATCATCTGCAAAGAGCATACACCATGACACATCATCCTGAATATTGCATGCCAACTCATCCATAACTAAAGCGAAAAGATAAGGACTTTTGGTTGATTCTTGGTATAACCCTACAGAAATTAAAAATTCACTTGTCTCTCCAGCAAGCGATCTAATAATGGTCACCACACCTTCATACATATCCCTAATCACATCAATGTAAACTTTTTGTCATCCCTTTCTTCTCTAACACCTACCAAATTATATCATGAGGCATTCTATCATATGCTTTCTCACGATCGATAAAAACCATATGCATGTCTATTTTCTTTTTTTTATACTTTTCTATTACTCTCTTTAAAAGATAAATTGTTTATATTGTTGACTTATCAGGCATAAATCCAAATTGATTATCTGATGCTTCTATTATATTTCACAATTAATATTTCATCACTTTCCCCATCATTATTTACTTTTAGGATTATCACTTTAGGTACTATAGATTTAAGTCTTAGGAATTGTGAATGTATCAATGCATGTAGTTTTATTTTGAAATCTCCTGATGAAGTTCATGAATGAAATAAAGAGGAAAGGAGAATTATTATGATGTTGACCATTGATTATATTGAGAATATTTATTACTTCCGCATGAAATCTCCAGATGAAGTTCATGAATGAAATAAAGAGGAAAGGAGAATTATTGTGATGTTGACCATTGATTATATTGAGAATATTTATTACTTCCGCATGTGTATTTGTGCCGACACAGAGAATTGGACAGTGGAATTGCGTTGTATTGGGTGAATCAAGTTTCATTATTTTGAGAGTTTTGTATGAAATTGTTTGGGTTTAAGTCTACAGCAAGACTTTTGAAAGCTTTTAATTTAAGATTGTGAGTTAAATTTTGTAAATTAAATAAGTAATTCATGTGTTAGATAAGAGATGTGCCGCTGCTTGCATTTAGGGATTGTATGAGTTATCTTAAATAAGTGTATTTTTTATCTTTTTAAATTAAAATGTTGAGGGAAAAAATATGGATGCTTGGATTAACTTTTTGACTTTTTATGGAAAAATGTGTAATAAAAAATTGTAAAAGTTGGTTTGTAGAGGAAAATTAGGATTGAGAGTTGTGTAGCTGTAATTGTTGATTTTTGGTGAATAATGTTAATTTTTTAACTTTTTGAGTAACTTTTTGACTTTTTAACTTTTTTTTTAAGTATTCCAAATTTGGCCTTAATTAGGAATGTTTCTTAAACTTTAGTTTTGTTTATGTATATGTGAGTGATTCATAGTTTGGGAAGTTGGTTTTGGTGGGTTAGAGGCTAAAATAGTCATAAAAAACAAACCATCAAATCCAACTCATAATCATTACACTCATTTCTCACAAAAAAAGTCAAAAAAGTCAAAAAGCTAAAAAGTCCTTCCCAAATCAGGCTTTTTAGCCCCAAGTTAAAATAACCAAAAAATTAAAAAGTCAAAAAGTCAACCCACTTCCCAAACGGAGGCTAAAGGAAACCTTTGTGGAAAGCTTTTGTGGTGGTGGGGCTTAGGTTTACATGTATTGAATGGAATTTTGAACCAAACAAAAAGGAAGCTAACTTTGTGTGCTTCAAAAAGATTAGCCGAAGAGTTTTTAATTGATTTTCTTAATTTGGTTGGTGGTTAGAAATGTCTTAAAATGGTAAAATAGTGAATCTTAAATTTAAACTATATTTGACAAGTTAAGGAGCTTTTTAACAATAACTGTTACATAATGCTAAATTTTATTTGAATGTGATAGTAGTCTAGAAAGTTGTCAATTAAAATAAGGGAAATGCTTCAGTAGCTCTTGTTATGAGCTAATTAAAAAGTTTTGCTCTTAAGAAAGCTTACTACAGAAATTAGTAATAAGTTTAAATGCATGTTATCATGTCATTTCCCTTGGTATTATGGTTAAAGAAAGGGGTTTTGATGGAATTAAAATTTGAACTTGAACCACTATACATATTAATGAATATTAAATTTAATATTTATTTGTGTTCGTGCTAATATATTTTGTATTAGGATAAGAGGAGAGGAGATAAGAAATTTAACGACTCCATCTAAAGAGTAACTTTTCCTTTGGTATTGGTATTGCAATAGTTAGCACCCCATGTACACCCGGGGGGGAGGAAGTTCAGCCAATCAAAAATCAATGGGGATAGTGGGGGTCATTTCCGTTGGGGGTCTAAGTTATTTTTCTTGGTATTGAGCCTTAAGATAAGCGTATAAATTCAGATTTAGTATCGGTTTAATTATTTATACGATGCTCGTTAATGGATGTGACAAATTCATTTGGCTTGAAACCAATTCTTTGTATTGCTTTGGAGACATTACATCTTATTGTCCAGGAGATGTTATATTACATTGTTTTAGAAACGTTTACTACACTATTCTAGGGATGATGCCTTGAGGCTAAATATATATGATAGATGGTCTGATGTTGACACAAAATGCATAAGATATATTTATGTGAATGTTAATTGCTATTGAACCATTTATTTGTCTTCCCAATTATTATTTTGAACTAATACATTCACTGAGCATGTTGATGGCTCACAACCTCATGATATTTCTATTTTAGGTGTGCGAGATATATAAATTTATTAACAAGTCTATATTTTTGTTCAGAAATCTATTCCTAAAATTGGAATTAGTGATAAATCAAAGCAAGGAGAAGAAAGAAGAAGAATGGTAAATCAATAAATGGAATTAGTGATTCCTATTTGTTTGTAATTAGTTTCAATATTTGGTAATTCCAAAAAACTTATCACTAATGTCTCGTAATTATTCATTTTTCTTTTTGGGGAATTATAGTTAAGTAGAACATATAAAAAAATTTAATAATAAATAAACACAAACATGTATGCAGTCACATAATGTTTGAGTTGCACCTTTAGGCCCCGTTTGTTTGGAATTATAGGCAGGGGATTGGGTTTGGTAGTGAGGAGGGGATTGAGAATATGGTGTTTGTTTTGTTATTTTCTGATATAAATTATAAATATATATTTTTTTATATTTATTTAAAATACGTTTCATTTTATTATAAATATTCCTTTATTAAATTTTTTATTTAAAAGAATTAATAGAAAAATTAAAATTTGTAATTACATTCTTATATAATAATAAAATTACTACATGAATTTATAATTTTAAACAAATCAATGGGTGCATTTTTAATTTATAGTAATTTTTTTAGGAAATATGCATCCTTTTAAAAAGGTGTACCATATGAACCTTTAGTTATGTTATTTTCTTTTTTAATTATGACAAATTTTTTTTAGATATAATATTATTTTACTTATGACTCATGAATTCTTTAATTATATCTCGTGTTGTATTTAGTTATGACAATTTTTTTTAGTTATGATTAAAAAAATAAAATTATATTATATTTTTAATTATAGGGTGTATATGGTTCATTTTTTGAAAGATTTTTTTCATTAATATTATTATTTTTTGGGTTCCCGCCAATTTTAATTCCCGCGTATAAGTAGATATATATATACATATACGGAGTACGAACTTCACAAATCAAGCGCCACTCTTCGACTCTCTCTCTCTCTCGCTTGTCAATGGCGCTTCAGAAGAAACTTACAGAGTACGAGCTTCAAAGGCTTGAGAACATCAAACGCAACGATGAAATGCTCGCTTCTCTTAAGATCCATTCCAAAATTAACGACTTCTCTGCTTCAACTAAGCGCCAAAGGTCTCTCTCTCTGTCTTACATTTTTTTTTAATACATATGTTAAAGATCTACTAAACTCTCTCTCTATTTCTCTCTCTAGAGCTCAAACCAAGTCTTACAAAGTTAGTCCGGAGAAGAAATCGAAAATCGAAACCCCAATTTTCATTCGGCGTTCGCTACGGACCAAAGGAATGCCACCTGATGTCACCACTACGCAAGATTTTGATGAAACCCTAACTAAGACCCCCAAATCAAACCCTAAATATGAGTCCACAGGTCCTATTACCATCGGTGATGCGTTTTGCGGTTACGCCTCTCACCAACAAAAATTCACTGAAAAAATCATGGGTGTTTTGAAAAAACCCCAATTGTGTTGCGGTCATGACTCGAGGGAGGAAATTGAAGGGGGTTCCGGCAATTCGATGGCTCGTGTGAATGAAAATGTCAATTTTGGCTACCCAATTCGGGTTCGGGGTTGTGTTGATTTGGAATCAATGGGGTTGGAACCAGAAAATATAGCTAGGGTTGTGCCAGGGAGAATACTAGTGTTGAGGTTCTTTCCCTCTACGGATATGAAATTGATTGCCGTGGGAAACAAGTTTGGGAATGTTGGATTTTGGGATTTTGATGCTGAAAATGCGGATGGAGATGGGATTTATCTGTACCGGCCTCATCCAGGGCCGGTTTCGGGGATTGTAATTCAACCATTTTCCATTTCAAAGGTATTGCTTTTGCAATTTATTTAAAGTTTATGTTTTTTGCCCTATGAAGAAGTAAATATAGTATGTGCATGTGCATGTGCAATTATCACCTTTAATTGCTTCATTTTGCATTTGTTTTGCAACAACCAGTTCTTGTATCTCATTTGCTGGTAATGGCATGACTCAACTTGGCTTGTGCATTCCTCTGTTTGTATATCAATGTGTATGTAGGTATATACTAGCTGCTATGATGGATTTATCCGATTGATGGATGTCGAGAAAGAAATATTTGATCTGGTTTATTCCAGTGATCATGCTATATTTTCTATTTCTCAACGAACAAATGATACAAAGTCCTTGTATTTTAGCGAGGGTCATGGAGTTCTCAATATTTGGGATGAGAGGGCAGGAAAATCTTCAGCTTCGTGGATTTTGCATGAAGATAGAATCAACACTATAGATTTCAATTCGGAAAACACTGACATCATGGCAACGAGCTCCACTGATGGAACTGCTTGCATTTGGGATTTGAGAAATATTGATGCAGATAAGCCGAAATGTTTGAAGACTTTTAACCATAAAAGGGCTGTGCATTCTGCTTACTTTTCACCATCTGGAAGCTATCTAGCCACAACAAGGTATGTAACCTTTTTGGGACTGGTTATGTTGTTTGTGGCTCTCAGTAAGTATCTTGATAGAAATGATGTGAGACTGAGCAATATATTCTATATTTTCTTTCTGTGGGATGTTGACTATAGTGATTGGGTGTAACGATCCGGATCATTGCAACATTGTGAAGTGAAAATAATATTTAATTGCTTCTCTGATCAATTTATATATATATATATATATATAGCACTAGAATTGTTAAGCATCTAATAAATTATGTCTTTTAAAATTACAAGTTACAATTGTCTTCAAATATTAAATAATACAAAATAACACCAAAAATTCGGTAATCAATGATTAATCTAATAATCCGAGATTGTATGGGCTTTCATTCCAAATCAACAAACAAATTCATTGATGGGATAAGCTCGACAGCTGAGTAAGTCACCAACTACCACTGCTAGTTGGAGATCAAGTAGCAAAAAATAATCAAAAAGGAAGAAATATGTTTTTTGATGAATGAAATGATTTATTTGGGAGGTAGATCAATGGCTGAACTAACAGCATAACAGTATATCTTATTAAAGAAGACAATAAAATAATCCGATAACAGTCAAATTTATTTGTTGAAAGCAATGGTTTGATGTCCAATGGTATGATAATTCAATCATCAGAACTCAAGTCTAAGCAACTACAGCCACATTAGCCAATAACAAGGCCCATAACCATACATAGGCCTGTGGTAAAGCTCCCGAAGAAACTAGTTCGCCAACTTTTAACCCTCATTGGCTAGAGTCCAGATCATAGTAAGACAAGACTCAAGTACTAAATTTTGTACATGAACTTACTTACTTTGAAGTACAAAACATTTTGATATCCTTGACATAAATATTTTGATACAAGCAATCACAATAATTAAATAATATCACTCAGAATTATTTCATACTTGATCCATATTTTAACAAAACACATGGAAAACACAAAGAGGCACTTTTCAGGTAGAACATTGAGGCTGAAACACTAACAGTGGTGGAGGGTCACTTACCTCAAGTGCTAAAAGAATCCCAAAACTAACTTCAAAATACCACGATCCACTTTAATCTCATAGTCCTAGTAAATATAACACCACATAAATAATTATGGAAGGATTACACTCCAGTGTATGTATTAAAAAAAAAATTATAAATACATTAAAAATCGATAATTTTAATTATTAATATTCATAAACTTGACTACTAATCTGTAATTATTTTTTTAAATTTACACTGATATATAATTTCCCCAATAATTATCAAAGAAAACATTGCCTAATGTGTGTTCATGCAATAATCTAAGTCTAGGATTGTTCATTATCTACAACAGTCATCTATTCTATCTGCTTTAGGTCTTGCAAATGTACTTAACCCATACCCACTTATAATAATCCAATAACCTTTGCTGATTAATATTAATGCCCGTACACTCACCAGTTTTGTTAAGCAATTTCGTTCATAAGTTCCTTCTTCTTCTTTTTTTTTTTTTTTTTTCAACTATGGTTTCTATGGTATCCAACCAGCCATATATACATGCAAGTGACATGAATCCCACACAACACACCTTGGCTCCTTGCTTCTTGCACCGACCCAAGCAAGGTTACAAACGTTGCCATCCTCTGCCACCTCAGGCACTTCTCAAGGGTTAATCGCCAAAAACTACCCAAACATCATACATAATCTGTGGGTTCTAGCCAAACCCTAAAGAAATTTAGCCCCAAATTCAAATACAATAAATAATAGAAAGGAGGAAAGGTCGTACTAGAGTTCTTACCTTAAAGAATAAATAGATTGACCTAGTACCAAGAATTGATTCTTCAACCTCTTTTGTTGGAATCCTCAAGAGATCCCCTTCTTTGGATTTTTTGAGAATAACTGCAAAACCTAATGAGGTTATTAACCTAATTTTTTTTTAAATTACAAAGTTACCCTCTTCATATATTAGTTATATGCATGTCTTGGGTATTACATTAGGTTTTAAGTCATACCATTTCTTTTGAGATCACAAATTAACACTCGAGAGAAAGCTGGTGATGATACTTTTAAGATGGTGTATAATTTTTGAAGGGGCTTCAACTCAAATATTTTTCTATTTCAAGTATGTATACTCTGAATTTAAGTTAGGATGTTCACAATGTATTATTAAACTTTACTGAAAACCAAAAAAAAAAAAAAGGAAAAAAGAAAAGAAAATTCATATTAGTGATCTTCACAACATGAGCTACAATTGTGTTGATACTCAACTTCTAATTGCATTTCGGTTTATTTGCTCTAGGTTCTAGGTAGGTTTTCTCTTTCTATTTACCACCATTTTAATGGAGGTACTAATTAATTGTTAAGAACATATAGTTACTGGTCAACCCTTCCACTTTAGTCATAAAGTATTTGAGTTACCAATTCTTTTTTAGTATATATAGATTATGTTATATGATCAAATCTTATTTTCGTAAAAAATAACTTGCATATCACTGTGGAAGTGGTCATAGGAATTTGTTACTTTGATAATCAGTTTGGTGGCTCACTCTTACTGATCTTTGAGGTTTCTATCTCTTCACAGTATTGATGACAATGTTGGCTTACTGACTGGAGCTAATTTTGAAGACATAACTATGATCAACCATAATAATAAGACAGGCAGATGGATTTCTTCATTCAGGTATAGTTTTTTGTATGTTGTCATGCTGTTGTGATTAGGTCTGGAACAATCAGCTCACTGTTCTTTGGTAAAACTGATTTACATATGCGAGTGTTTTCTCATCTAAACTTAAACTGGATTTATGTGCTTTTGTAACTGATTCACTTTGCAAAATCTACCTTGACTCTGAACTTTTAGATTAGACTCAGAATAGACATCCATGTATAGATTATATAATTAGATATGAATCATTTCACATTTTTTTTATGCTGGTTGTTCATAACCATTTCTATTTAGCCTTACATGTTTGTAATGAAAGAATAAAATGGAAAATGAATCATCATCCTACCCATGCAGATGTATATTATCTCCTATTTGTTTTTAATGTGTTCATGTTCCCACTTTTGTCATGTAGTTGTTAGAATCGAAGTTTTGATTCATGATTCATGATTCATGCATAGCTGGATGCGAATCTATAGGTGAATTTATTTTGGAATAGAATTGACAATGAATCTTACGATTCACAATTCGATTAACACTACAATTCTTATGATTCTTGAACTGTCGAGTTGGATAGATTTTGTACCCCTTTTTCCTTTTTCTGAAAATTTCAAAATACAAATTCTAACAGTATTTAGTGTGAAAATAACCAATACTAGTGCATGATTTGTTGTTCTTTTGGTGATTAAAAGATTTAATAGGATAAATTAATCTCGACCGTTTGGATCTTCATTTTAACGCAAGAAATTTGTATATAAAACTTTGTATCTATCTATGTAAGATGTTATTTATTGCTAATATAGCTTCTTCTTTTGGTTGAAAAAGCAGAGCAATATGGGGTTGGGATGATTCATATCTCTTCATTGGTAATATGAAAAGAGGAGTTGATGTTATCTCCACGGCTAGGAGAGTATGTGTTGCGACTTTACAGAGCCCAAATTTGTCTGCAATTCCATGCCGCTTTGATACACACCCTTACCATATTGGGATGCTTGCAGGAGCCACAAGTGGAGGCCAGGTTTACACATGGACAACAACAACTTGAGCTTCTCTTTTTCAACCACCATGGTTGTACCTTAACTTAAAATTAACTTGATGAACAATCAATTCAGTTTATATGTATGCTACTTCATTTGGTAAGTTTTAAATATATTTATGGTTTTGCCTCCATCTTTTTCTTGCTCAGTTATTTCTGCAAAAACTGTATGTGAACCAGTTTACATAATTGATTTGGCACTAATTCATTCTAACTGAAAAACATTAATGAGGTGACTGTGTATTGCCATTCAATATACCACATTAGCTAAATTACTCTATTTTTCAAAATTTATTGCTTATAATCATTATGGGTTTTATATCATCACTTAAGGTGAGACTTACTATTATTGTTAGTCTCTCTAAAGTTAGTTAACTCCATAAATTTGGAGTAATTTGCAGTGAAATTAGAGTGATTGTGCTGGGGGAGTAATGATTTTGAAATTCCTAGATCTATTACCACGAAAAAATAGAAAGAAGAAAAAATAGGTAGATCTATACTGAATATCTCGTCAATTTTTTAGAAGTTGAAGCAATATAAATTTTATTTTGGTTAAGGTATGAACAGTAATTTGAACAACCCAAATTCTGTTATTAATAAATATAAAATATATAATAAAAATGAATTTAAGTCATTGTTGAATTTAATATATATTTTTTTTGAACTAGATTGTTGAATTTAATATAATATTGCTTATTTTCTCACTGTTGAATTTAAGTCATTGTAGTATAATTAATTCTACTGTTTGGCATGTATAATTCAAATTAATTTTTTTCTTACATTTCATGTTTGAAATTTTACAGGTAATTTTTTTTATTCTTATTTTTATGAGGTGTAATGCATTGATTTAGAACAAGATAACTTTCTTATGTCAAAATTGAACACTTCATACCTAATTCTAATTTTGTGATAAACTCGAGCTTCACGGTAGGACAATTCTTAGGTATGCCTTGCATATGTCGTATGCAAGGCCTATATGAATCCTCATATATTTTTATTGTTTGGGATATATACATTTGTGTTAAAACTTCTACATTTTTGTGTCAGAATTTATACATTGTTGACCTGCTAAACAGGTCAACTTACTGGTAAACATATTGAAATAATATACTATACTATATACGTGTAATTATTTTCACAAAAATATGTAAATTTTTACAAAAGTGCGTAAGTTAATTCTCAAAAATTTAGAACAATACAAAATACGTAGGTTTTCACAAATTATGTAAGTGACAAAAATGAGTAAGTGAATACAAAAACGTGTAAGTTTGTTCCAAATAATTTAGAATAACACAAATATGCGTAAGATTTGACAAATCATATAAGTGATTTCACAAAAATGCGTAACTGAACAAAAAAACGCGTAAGTTTTGTTTTGAAAAATTTAGATCAACACAAAATGTGTAAATTTTCACAAATCACATAAATGATTTCATAAAAATGCGTACGTTTACACAAAAAACACGTTAAGTTTATTCCTAAAAATTTAGAACAACACAAATTACATAGGTTTTCACAAATCACGTGAGTGATTTCACAAAAATGCGTAACTGAACACAAGAGCGCATAAGTTTGTTCTCAAAAATTTAGAATAACACAAATTGCGTAAATTTTCACAAATCATGTAACTGATCTCACAAAAATGCGTAACTGAACACAAAGATGCGTAAGTTCGTAGCCAAAAATTTAGACTAACACAAAATGCGTAAGTTTTTACAAATTATGTAAGTGATTTCACAAAAATGCGTAACTAATCACAAAAATGCGTAAGTTTGTTTCAAAAAATTTAGAATAACACAAAATGTGTAAGATTTCACAAATTACATAAATGATTTCATAAAAATGTGTAAGTTTTCATAAAAATGAATAAGTTTGTTCTCACAAATTTAGAACAACATAAAAGACGTAAGTTTTCACAAATCACATAAGTGAATTCACAAAAATGCATAAGTAACCACAAAAACGCATAAGTTTGCTCTAAAAAATTTAGAACATAATTATGCGTAAGATTTCACAAATCACGTAAATGATTTCACAAAAATGCGTAACTGAACACAAAAATGTGTAAGTTTGTTCACAAAAATTTAAAATAACACAAAACGCGTAAGTTTTCATCAAGCACGCAACTGATTTCACAAAAATATGTAAGTTTACAAAAAAATGCATAAGTTTTTTGCATAAGTTTGTTCCCAAAAATTTATAACACTATAACGCCTCGAAATAAACACAATATACCCATCTCATAACAACTAATAAATAGCAACATAAATGAAATGATAATCTTTCATTAATCAGAGTTTGATATACAAAAGACGACACATGTGATATACATTTATAAATAATACATCCTAAATCTACAACATATGTTACAAGACAGTGAAAATAAATGAAGGCTAAACAAATAACCATATATCCTAATGGCTTACACCTTTCCAAGTCAATGCTTGGTTACATCAAAAGTGAGTCTTGAGCTTAATACAAATAAAGTCATTGCTTGTACAAAAGTACACACAGTAAATACACAAAAGAAGCTCTCGCTCCAAGTCCTTCCAAGCTATTGCCTTGGCGGAGGCATATCATCAGCACTTGAAATGTTTTTCTCACATAAGATGAGCCAAAGCCTAGTAAAAATAATCCAACACAATATATAAATCTTAAGAAAGTTATAAGGTGAATGCATATGCAATGCACGTGTCAAGGCATTTTATATCTCTTTCCAAAACCATGCAATATGAAGTCAATATCATGGTTCATAAATCATTTCCTTTACAATAAAAAATAGGGTAGTGAATCACACTCTAGGAATTTCAAAACAATACAACTTTTCTCGAAAATTTCATTCGGAGGAAACCGTATGTCGGGACCCATGTAAACGTAGGCTATACAAGTATTATTATTGCCATTTCATGAAAATTTCGTCCACGGGATTGGCACCTATGTATACGCGCGGTTTTCAAGATTTTCACCTTAGACACATAAGCCAACTTATTTAATATAACAACAATTCCTTTCCTAGATTCACCCATTTTCTCAAAACAGTAACATTTCCAATGTATAAGTGTGAGATAATGCTTAATGCAAATGACTGAGAAAAATAGTTTCAATTCTCCTAATTCATATGCAATTTCTACAACACTCATAGCTATCCTCCACCGATAGCCCAAAACAGTTATTTCTAAACAGATAAATAATTACCAATAAAGATAAACTCTCCAAATTTTCAAGAGGTGAGTGATAATACATATCAAACTCTACCATTCTCATCAACATCAGTCCAATTTCACAATTCCAATATCAATCTCATAATTTATATAAAATCAATATTTGAGGCATTTAGGACAAAATCCATTTTCTTCCCAAAATCAATTCCAACATTCAAAATCAACGATTCATCCCCAACTCAACATCATCTTCCATAACAAAATCATTTTCAAGGATTCATTTGAAAAACCCCTTTTTTGATTTTTATTCAAAACCCTAGATTATTCCAAATCTCCCAAAGATCTCAATATGGTTTAGAAATAACAAATAAGTAAGTTAAAACTCATAGAAAAAGCAGAAATATCCCTACCTCAAGCTTAGAAGACGATTGAATGAGGGATCAAAACTCAAAGATGCTGAAATTCAACTTTGCTCCGATTAGAACGAAGACCTTGTCAAGCTCTACCTTTTTAACAAAGGCATACGGGTGAAAAGATCGATGGATCTAGGTGTATTTGAGGGAAAGAAACAAGTTTTAGAGAGAGACTGAGAGATATTAGTGTTTTGAAATGTTAGAGAGAGAGAGAGAGAGAGGGGTGAAAAAGTGACTCAGAAAAGTATTTTTACGAACTAATATACGCATAGTTCGCTCGAGTACAAGATGTGTCGCTCGAGTGACTAGACACAATAAGTTGTTTCACTCGAGTGCAAGAAGCTTTACTCGAGCGCAGAATACATACTTCCAGTAGTTTTGCAGACAGAGGTCGTCGCTCGAGCATAAGAAGCTTTGCTTAAGCGAAGAATACAACTCTCAGTAGTTTTGCAAACTTGCAAAAATACTGGATGTTCACAAAGACCGCTCAAGCGCAAAAAGCTTCGCTCGAGCGAAGGAACAAAAATCTGGGCAACAAAAGTTTGAAAAACAAGTTTCCAACCTGTTCCCAAATATAGAGTACAATCATTTTCTTCTTCCAAACATCATACCTTTACAATATATTAAAGACATAGTCATATTCAATGGAAACAGATGAGAGATTAGCTTCAATTCACTTAATTCTTATGCAATTTCTACAACAATCATAACTATTCTCCACCGATAGCCTAAAACAGATATTTATAAACAAATATACAATCTCCAAGACAGATAAACTATCCAAATTTCTATAGATGAGAGATAATACATATCTAACTCCACCAATTATATAAACATCTATCCAATTTCGCAGTTTCAATACCAATTTTATTTATTCATACAAAACAAATATTTGAGACATTTTAGGGCAAACTCATCTTTCTTCTAAAATCCAACCCAAGTATCGAAATCAACCATTTTATTACAACACAGCCTCATATTCACTCTCATAACCATTTTTAATACATCCATTTGTAAACCCCTCTTTTGATTTTAAACAAAAATCCTAGATTTGTTTAAAATCCTCCTAAATCACAATAGTGTTTGTTAGGTTTTTATTCTTGACAATCCTGTTTGACAAAACTCCTTTTAGTTGTACTTGTTTTCGCACTTTTATTTCAATGAGTCTATGAGTTTTTAGATGTGAATCCAACCCGAATTGTGCCTTATAGAGAAGTTTGTGATGTCTATTCTTTCATGTTTGCCACTTCGTTGACTATGTCGGGGATCGAGAAGTTTGGTTCCAGAAGTTTGACCTTTCTGCAAAAGTACTGGAAGTTGGGATTTTACGCTCAAGCGAACTTTCCTGCGCTCGAGCGAGGTCTGCTTGAGTGGAGATCCCGAAATAGTTTGCTATAAATATGTGTTTCAGTCAGATTTTAGGGTTAGGCTTTCAGATCTTCTTCTTGAATATTAGGGTTTATATCTGGGGCTATTTTGCTAGTTTTTTTTTTTTTTTTTTTAATGTTTGATTGAGTATTCAACTCGTGATTTAAGAAGTATACATTAAAGGATTGTT